CCCCTACATTATAATGAAGGAAGGATAGAAAAGGCTGCACCTGGTGCTTAGAGGAGAACAGAGAAGGTGCCAAGCACAGGTGTCTCAGGAGGATTTTGCGGTTGGAAACTCATGACTGTGCAATATTTTGCACCACATTTGTGAGGAAGCTGTACAGTACTATGTCAGCTGTTTATTGCCAATGTTGTGTCAAGCAAGTGCTGTCTCACACTTTCCAGTGCATTTCCCGCCCCTTGTTGATTTCCCTTTTCTCAGAAAGGAAAAGGGGGGAGGAAGGGGCTTGTTGCACAAGAGCACCAAATCAACTTTAACTGTGCAGCCTCAGTCTTTGGGTTTTATTGAGATTCCGCGTCACCTCAACCAAACATTTTTTTCTGGGGAACTTCTTTCAGACTATTTGTGCCCTGCCTACATTCATTCAGTGAAACAAACAGCATGGATCAGTTATGGTGAATGGACTCTACCCCCCTCCCAAGTATGCAGTATCCAAATACTATCAGCAATGCCTGAGGCATTCGTTGCTTCAAAAATCAATTGTATGATGCTCTTTTCCTTACACCATTAGCGCTTTCGGGATGGGTTACTTAGCTTTAAGTAGCTTAGCTTTACAACCTCACCACCTAGTGGAAGAAAATGTGATTTCCTCAAGCGACTTCAGGGTAGGGGGAATTTAGTGTGGAATTATCTAAAGACACAGAAAGTTGCCTGCATTTGCTGTAGAACAAATACTTTAAGGAAAACCTGAAAGATTCAGTGCATTTGTAGTTGATAAAGGTGAAATGGGAAGAAAGCAGTGCATAGCAATTGCATGATATTGTTGTCTTACAGGATCGCCCCTGTAAAAAAAGAACCATTATAACACAAGTGCCCTTGATTAAGGCTTGATTGTCTAGTGTACAAGTACAAATCATTATTATTTTCACAGTGCGTGGACCACAAAGCAGAAGACAGCATGTCTGTCAAAAGTCAGTAAAAAATGAGGCTCTTAACCTTAGCATTGTAGGTTCAAGTCCCATGTTGGGCAAAAGATTCCTGTGTGAGCCTTGTGTTCTGATGCAACTGGAACAATGTGTGCAAAACTGTTGTCATATTCTTTTTCTATTGGAATTATTCCTAGAAAGGTATCGTTCCCAATGCAAAGATATGGAGAAAGCTGGACTTAGACAAGGGAAAATTGGGTTCAAATCCCAGTAAAGTTTTCTGAGGTCAGTAACACTCTCTCAGGCCAACCCACCTCACAGGATTGTTGAGAGAATGTAATGTCTAAAACCCAATGACAGAATGCTGAGCTCCTTGGAGGATAAACATGTTACCCGGTGCTATTATTCTAGAAAACAAGGTGCCAGAACTCACCATGAATGCCTCCCTTGTTCTCTATAATGGCAATCAGGTGCTCACCACTTGAGAGTTGCCAGAACTGAGTTCCGGTGAGTTCTGGTTGAAAAAAAGCCCTGAAGCTACCTAGCCTAACTATATGTGTTCCCTTAGGAAACCACACAAATCAGGCCCATTTATGCAAGTGGTTCAGTTTAAAGTCATGGGGTGAAAATACTGCTGCATTGATTTGATTTTATCGCTCAAAGAAACAGAGGTCTAGCCTGCATTTATTTCACAGCTAAATCACATTCTGTTTGAGACAAATGGCAGCACTAATATACAGTGGTACCTCGGGTTAAGAACTTAATTCGTTCCGGAGGTCCATTCTTAACCTGAAACTGTTCTTAACCTGAAGCACCACTTTAGCTAATGGGGCCTCCTACTGCTGCTGTGCCGCCACTGCACGATTTCTGTTCTCATCCTGAAGTAAAGTTCTTAACCCAAGGTACTATTTCTGGGTTAGCGGAGTCTGTAACCAGAAGCGTATGTAACCCGAGGCACCACTGTGTGTGTGTGTATACATATGTGTGTGTGTGTGTGTGTGTGTGTGCTTTTGTTGATGTAATTAAAGACACACACACACAAACTCCACACCAGAGACCTGCATCCCCATGCAGACTTGTTGACACAGGGGGTCGCTGCTAGTGTTCACTTTTGGCAAAGTATTTCTTTTGCAAACACCACCAGATCTCTGCTGGTGCCAGTCTACTTAAATCAACAATAAAATCAACAATTCAAATGAAACCATCATTAATGTAAGATGATCAGAAGAAGTAAAAGCAAATGTTGGTTATCCCCATGTTCATGGGAAATATCCCAGGCATTTAAGGGAGACAATTTAAATTGAGGAAGGAAGGCAACTGCAATTCACAACACGGGATACTATATATATAACAAGCTTTTCCAAGTGATGCAAAATAGTCAAAGAAAAGGAGTTTGTGCTGGGCTGCTGATGGGACACCCTTGTACTCACATTGCAAAGATCCAGGTGTAGAACTCAATACTGGAGGTGAATTTAGTGTGTGGGTGGGCAGCATGTTTCAACCCAAGGATCACATTCCCTTCTGGACAGCCCTCGGGGGGCTTATGCTAGTGGTATAAGGCCAAGGCCAAGGGCAATGGATATGAATTTTATCTTTTTACCATAAGCTCATTTCTACATGCTTCTTGGTGTTCCATCCTGGCAAGCAAGAAGCATTTTCAGGGTTCAACAATGCAGACCAGCCGGAAGCACTCAAGGAGGCTGCAGAGCAAGGTGGTGAGGAGTGTCCCTTAGACAGAGGGTACATGGCCTGGGAAGATAATTGAGGGCCAAACAGAAAAGCCTGGAGGGCCACATAGAGTCCCTGGGCATGAGGTTCCCCATCCCTGATATGCTGCCTGGATGTCACAGGGCTTTGAAAGCAGGTATACAAGATTTGTACATCTTCGTGAGCATAGGATTGAAACATCACACAGTTTTAGATACTATGATGAAAAGTATAAATATTATTTCTATGAACTTGCTTCCTTGAGGCTAAAAATATTTACTAAAATGAAGAAGACATGAACTATGGCAGATGTTATGGTTCCTTACATGAACAACTGATGGGTCAGGTAACTGTTGTTTGTTTATTTAACACATTTATTTCCTCCAAAAATCTCAAGGTGGCATACATGGTTCTGACCACTGGAGCCAACTCTGGGGCCATGGGTGTTTTGGCACCCACTCTGGGGCCATGGGTGTTTTGGCACCCACAATGATATATATTTGTGGAGCTGGGCCCCCACAAAGTCAATGGGCAAAGTTGAAGCCCTTCATTGCAGGCACCCCCAATCTTAGGCACGAGGTGGCACTTATGGTTCTGACTTCCTAATAGGGCTGTGTACAGTCCAATTCACTTTGGAGCATCCCTGATCTGACCCAAATCCAGACCCCAAACTGATTCAAGGCCCTTGCACAATCAAGCGGACAGGAGGTGGAGGGAGAAGGACAGGCCCTAATTAAACTTATGGTCAGGAAGAGAGGAAGAAGGAGATGCAAGAAGGCTGCTTGTCCATCTCCTTCTCCCCCATCTTCTTTCTTCCAAACCTCCCACTCTTTTGACAGTCTTGGATGCTTCCAGGTAGACCTGATCTGACCCAGGGTCATCTGAGGCTGCCTCAACATGATCCAGTCAAACCCCAGGTTGACCTAAATCGGCCTGATTTGAGTTCAGGATCCAGTGTGCAGCCCTGCTTCCTGCCATTTTGTTCCTCTGCAATTCAGCAGGGAATCCAGTTCTTTTGAGACCGCAGCATCCTTTAAATTTCTTTAGTGTAGATTCCCATTGACTTCTCCGCATCAGAATCAAGTATCTGTTAAGACTTTGGGCAACAAAGATAAATTACAGAGCATTCATTGAGGCAATGAGGAATCCTAAAGTGCAGACCAGGTGTGTAAACTTCAAGGTCTTTGTTCAATGAGAATTCATTTGATCCTCAATGAAAATGTTTTCCTGCTTGAGTTTTCATGGTTTGAGCTTTGCTGTGCATTCATACAAGTCAGGGTAATTCTGCAGCAACACTTACCAAGCAATCCAAACAATTATTGATTTTCTTTTGAATTTTTCTTACCTTGACAAATCAGTCAAAAGTGTCTCAGCAAGGGCTCTTCGGGGAAAAGCTCTCTCCTTTTCACAAAAGCTTGAATGATCACTCTGTGCAGTGCTGCCAGGGAACTGTTCAAGACAGTCTGAATGAGAGAGCACCAAGAAGGCAAGCATGTCAGCCCATTCTGCTTCTTTGATTTAAGGGCTTCCAGATGAATTTATTCTATTTGAAAAAGGAGATGGTTAGATGAAGGGTTGCATTTAGACTTTGTCCTCGTCTGCCTCCAAATCCTCATCGTATTTCTTTACGCCAGGCAGATAAAAGGCTCCACAAACTTCAAAAAGCCCAGGAGAAGTCAGGAGTTATCTCACTGGCCTCCAATAGCAGAATTCAACTCAACAAAAGGTTCATTGGGGCCAAATTATGCATTGTGTTATTTGTGTGTGTGTGTGTGCGCACACACACACACACACAATACTTCATCCTATGGTGTGGAGATAAGATGATGGACAAGAAAAGTGAATCTTGCAAGCTTGTAAAGACACTTATACATGAAGGGTAAAATGATAAAACACCCACAATTCCCTACTCAGTGTATGCCTTCTAATTGCTAGTCTCATTTGAATATCTATTTAGACATATGGAGTGCTTCTATTAATAACCAAGTTTAAGTCAGGATTGATGGGTTATTTTTATTATTAATATGAGCTGATGATCTTTCTTTCTTTTCCCCTTTTTGTTATATTTGTAAAAAAATTTTTTATAAATGTTCTTTAAAAGTGGCCACTTTTATGTGGAAGAAAAAGTCGTCACATGGCCCCGATCCAGAGCATGCTCCAGATATGAATTAGCGGCCTATTCCTGCTTCCTTTCAAAATCAGAAACTTAAGAAGAGCCCTGCTGAATCAGACCAAAGACCCATGGAGTCCATCATCCTGTTCTCATAGTGGCCAACCAGATGCCTCTGGGAAGTCTGCATGCAAGACATGAGAACAACTGCACTCTCTCCACTTGCATTTCCCAACATCTGGTCCTCAGAGGCATGTTTCACATTGAGATAGCTCAGCTGGTAGAGCACGAGACTCTTAATTACAGGGTCGTGGGTTCAAGCTCCACACAGGGCAAAAGATTCCTGAATCGCAGGGGGTTGGGCCAGATGAGCCTTGTGGCCCCTTCCATCTCTATGATTCTATTATTCACTCTATTGCTCACAATCCCCAGCAACTTTTCACCCTTTTAGCATCCCTGCTCCAGAAAACGGCAGAGAACTGTGAGCAGCAGGTCTTAAACAATTGCATAGGATGCCAAACAATACCAAATTCATCTAAAAGTTCATCAGTGAATATTAACCAAAGCTGTACATTTTCTCCCTAAACATTAGGTCTGCCTGACTGAGACCGGGGTATCCTCTGAGCATTCCTTGATGTGAAAACTCATATTTTGCAGCATCCACACATGATACAAAGCCAAATCGAGATTTGGTCTGGCCCAGTAATGCTGATGCTAGGTTCTTAAGACTGCTGTTCTGTCCGTGCTTATCTGGAAGTAAGCCTGACTGAGCTTAGTGGAGCTTCTGAATAGACCTCAGCAAGGATTCCATCATAGGTACACAAAGAAGTGTGCGGCTTTCAGCACCAAACATACAAATGTGTGCTTTATTCACAACTCATTAACTCCCCATTTGCATTGCATTCAGAAGCTTTCAGGTAAAGAGCAACAAAACTGAGAAATGGCTTTACTGAGAAGACAGAAGTGTTATGTTCTCCACGATGTTTTAAAGAACAGGTACTCATCCGTGGCATGTAGCAAGGGAGCGAACAAGAAGCTTCATAATGCGGAGAGTGAGATGAGACTTTATTTAAATGTTGTTTTCCCTTGACTTTAATTTAAGCAAATTTCTATACCTGCATTTTCAAATAACAACAACAAATATTACATTTCAGAAGACGCTATAAATCTTGCAAGGAAGGAGACTCTGAGGCAGTCACCAGGTTTCAGGCAAGCTGGGTCTTGGGGAAAAAGATGGGTTGCACCACTTTCATTCATTCCAGTAACTACCCCACTTTTTTTTAACCACTCTAGACATATTTGGATACATATTTATGGCTGCTCCTGTGTACAGTGGTACCTCGCGTTAAGAACTTAATTCATTCCGGAGGTCTGTTCTTAACCTGAAACTGTTCTTAACCTGAAGCACCACTTTAGCTAATGGGGTTTCCTGCTGCCGCCGCGCCGCCAGAGCATGATTTCTGTTCTCATCCTGAAGCAAAGTTCTTAACCCGAGGTACTACTTCTGGGTTAGCGGAGTCTGTAACCTGAAGCGTCTGTAGCCTGAAGCATCTGTAACCTGAGATACCACTGTACTGTACTTCATAAAGGGGCTCTTGATTCTCAAATGTATACAACACTGGTCCTCCCTTTTTTGTCTGTGCACGCCAAATCTTTAAATAAAATAAAACCTCTGGGCCTTGAATAGCATCTCGGAAGAGAGCTCTGTGTTCCAGGGCAGAGCCCAGGGGTGGAGTTTAAGGACTGCATCCAGAACAATGATAAGAAAGAAAATAGCAAACATGAGGTGGAGGCAAGGATATAAGGTTAAGGAGGCCAGGAAAGAAGGTGGGCAGGAAGCTGATTAAGGTTGAGTGATGTGCCCCAGGAAAAAAATCCCACAAAGAGCGGACAACATGGCCCCTTGGGAAATAACTTTTCTTTAACTCCCAAGTTATGGCATATTGCTCTGGCATTGTCCTACATGAATTTATCTAATTGTCTTTTAAAGTCATTCAATTTTGTGGCCATTGCTACCTCCTGTGAAAGTGAGTTCCATGGTTTAACTATGTGCTGTGTGAAGAAGTACTTTCTTTTCTCTGTCCTGAATCTTCCAACAAATAAGACAGAAGAATGATGATAGGGAAATCTTGTTAAACTTTGATTTTAAAAAAATGAAGGAGAGAGTTGGCCGACTGGTTTGATTGCACATATTAATTTTCAGTAGCTTAATTATAGGGCTCTTTTGGGACACTGTGTTTGTGTATCTGTGAGGCACAGGGAATCCAGTTGGGAAGTAAACACAGATGTCTCCTTGAGCACTTTGGGAAAGCATCTGTTGTCTTTCCTCTTTAGCTCATTCTGATCCCATATGACCAGTTTTCCAAAGCAAATCATGAAACTAAGCTATCCTGATTTCACTCCAGGCTTTCAAAGAACAAAAACAAAATCTGCACCTTAGGGGAATTCTTCGTAGCAGAAAGCAGGTGAAGGAGGTAGGAATTTAAGCAGATTGTTCTTTCCTTCTCTCTCTCTCTCTCATCAGAAGAAAATACAATAGTCAACAGAGTGAGGTGGAGACTTATTTCAAAAATATTTATCTAGCATACTTAACAATCAAAACTTCTTTGGGGTGGCGACAACTGAAAAACAACCACCCTTCAGAATTTTGCAATTCAGTTCTCCAGGCAAATAATATTCCGGGGGTATCTACAAAAAGGTTTCTATAAGTGAAAATAACATAGAAAAATGTGTTCTATTAGGGAAAACTGTGTTGCAAAAATGTGTATAATGAGCAAAATTGCATTCAAACATGTGTATACTTGGAGCAATTTGTATTAAAATGCAGGTGAATTTTCACGGTGACTGTTTAAAAATAAAAAATATCAAGAACTGAAGTGAATGTTTGGTGAACTGAACTTAAGATTGGAAAAATAAGAAACCGAGAGAACTAAGCCAGATTCCTCCATCCTTAGTGGAGGAGAGTACAAGCAGGGGAAAGATCCAGCGCCTTCCTACTCTTTCTCCACTTTAAATCACTGTTTACCCACCACTGCAAGTCACAGACGAATTCAGCACAGCTGCAAACTAAGACACCAACCATGCTACTGTCTTGCAAACTTTACCCTGGATCCCCCAGAAGCATCTGACCCATCTCTGTCGCAAAGAGGATTCCGAGGAACATGGAACTTGGCCTGATTCATTAAGCAAGCAGTTCTTCAAAGCAGGTAACTGGATATAGAAGAGGCCCTGTGCATGTACATTGGGTGGGAAAAATCAAGAGTGGCAAAGCCATTTGCTAACTTGATCAGTCCAAATGTAGATGACTGCAAGTTTCCTTTTGCTTCTCCCTTTCCCATCCCATAAATAAAAGGAACGGAAATGCTTGTCGAAACTGCACCACAGATCTTTAGTGAAATATACTGTTGATGATGGGAAGCCCTTCAACTAACTGCACTGAGATGAGCACACACCCAAATTGGTGGTTTTAAACTTTATAATTTGCTTGTGTTTTCATCCACCAGCTCTTTAGCTTTCATGAAAGGACACTGCCATTGACATCAGCAAAGTCTTGATGTTGTCATTTTAGATGATGTGGTGGCACTTCATCTTTATTGATTATTACATTTCATTAGCATGAAGTGCTTAAGGGGTGGGAGGAGAAGGAGAAAACGAAATGAGATTATTTGATTTCATTATATTCATGGCTTTGTGAGCTCCAAGTGTTAATAAATTATCTGTCTTCACATTAAGCAGCAGCTTACTTTATTATATAAATTGCATTAAGTGGCACCACCACAGATGTAAATAAGTTGCGCCCCATTAATAAGGTTTATTCTCCCCCCCTCTCTCTACCTCTCATGATAATTATTTAGAGAAATGTTGGTAACTTCTTCCTACAATGTGAGTGCTGACATGCCAGAATGAATGGACTATCCACTACTGACCTTTCCAACCCCATTTCCCAGAAAAGGGTCAATAACAGTATTTTACAAGGGTTCATCATTTCAAATCACTGGGTAACTGGCTAATTAACATTTCCACAGAGTCCTTGTTAATGACCTCCGTCAAAAGCAGGGCTGAACTACAATACAGTGGTACCTCGGGTTAAGTACTTAATTCATTCCGGAGGTCTGTTCTTAACCTGAAACTGTTCTTAACCTGAAGCACCACTTTAGCTAATGGGGCCTCCTGCTGCCACTGGAGCACGATTTCTGTTCTCATCCTGAAGCAAAGTTCTTAACCCAAGGTACTATTTCTGGGTAGGGGAGTCTGTAACCTGAAGCATATGTAACCCGAGGTACCACTGTACATAGTCACACATTTTATCTGCTTATGTCCAATGGGGCATGTAGATGCAAAGATCTTCTGGATTTTGCAAGTGTCAGGATCAAAATTCTCATAACTGACAAAAAGTCATGGTATGGAATATATACTTGCCCACTGGTATTCTAGTACTTTGAAACATAATAGTCAATGTGTCTAAGGCCCTCTACTTCCACTTCTATTCACTGTGTGTACGCAAGCTTCATGTGCCCCCATTCATTATTGTGTGGAAGTTAGAACACACTATATTTTATTTTCCTTTCAACAGAGTTGGGTGAGATTTCTAGGCATATCAGCCCGTTTGGACTGAATCACTGGCCAAATTACAGAAAAGTTTAGGGAAGTTTTTAATGTTTGAAATTTTATTCTGTTTTTAGTGTTCTGCTGGGAGCCACCCAGATGGGCGGGGTATAAATATTAAAATGGGGCCAAAGGATTTGTGCTGGGCACCTTTAAAATCTGGTCCTACACCCAAAAAAGGGAATCATCCAGATTTTTTTTTTGGCAGAAGTGGATTAAAATTTCAGGTATGATAACCAAATGTCCCACCACAGCTCTCTTGCCGACTTTTCTCCTCCCTATCCTGGCCTATTCCTTAAGCTTAGGGGATACAAGTGTCCTTTTGCTTTTGCAACCACCCTCTCTCCTCCAAAGCAGTGGGATTTACACTGGTAAAATGTAAATCAATTCCCTTGATTGCAAACGAGACCTGTCAGTTGCATGTCTTGATCCAGGCATTTCCCTTAAGCTGGAGACATAAGTTTCCATTTGAAAATCCTTTCCCTTCATATTCTGGCATTAATGGTTAAGCTTAGAAACACTTGTCTGCAGTTTTTTTATTAAAAAAAATAATGTCTGGATTGCCATGTCACATGAAGCATTTCAGGATTTTTGCTTTGAGTTTCCCCAAGAGTCAAAAAAACCACCTAGCTACCCTATGTCAATTTTTTTTTAAGGTTTCTGCTAAGGAGAAACTCCTCTCATTGGCTGCGCACAAATGGCTTCTATATGAAGAGGGCAAGCTGCCTACCAC